TTTTTTTTTTCTTTTTTTTTTGTCTTTTTCTTTTTTATGAAACCACAAGCTCAGTTTTCCAAATATGCAACTCTCGTATTGAACCAGTAAATAGTTAGGAGTTTATTTGAACTAATTTTAATTTTTATAAAATTATTATTTGAATATAATTTCTATGGAAGTGTTGAATTTTTATAAGAAAAAAGGCATTATCATTACTAAAAAATAGAGGTGAGATTTACAAAGATATGTTTGGAAATAAACAATATCAATCCAGGCAGTGGCACTCAGAGAAGTTGGAGCAAGCAGAACCATCCTGGATCCCAGACTTCTGCCAAGGTCCTATTGGAGGCCCAAGCATCATATTTTACAGATTATGAACCAGACAACGTTTCCAGGAGGAGGATTTAAAATCTTGATCTTGTGGGTATTCTATTTGTCCGACCCTTCTTGTATCATGAAAAATTCATCTTTAGTATCAGAGTCGTCCAACTGTTCAATGACAAACAGCAAATTTGGGGTTAATTCATCCACAAGAATGTCATTCAACAACAGTAAGGGTGGAGAATCAGATCAACGAAGGATGCACAATGAAGAAGAGTCACAAAAGGAAGAAGTGACCCAAAAGGAGGAAGTCAAAGGAGATCATATTCCTTCATGACAAACTAATGTGGGTCAACTCCGGTGGCTAGTTAAAGTTACTCCCTTTTATCACGAGCTAAACCCCAAACCCAGAAATAAAGAGGAACTTCTGTTTGCATCCCTTCATCCAGAGGCTTCTTCCCAATAACTTACCATGTTACAAAAAGAGACTCAAGTACATAGACAAAGAAGAAAAGAGAAACTGTCTCACTAAGAATATTAATTTTGTATTTTTTTTATTAAAATATTAATTTTATTAGTTTTTAAATAAAAATATTAATTTTTTATTTAAAAATATTAATTTTTAATTTTTAATTTAAAAAATAATTAAATGATAATATTAATATGAAAAATAAATTTTTTAGACATCTTAATTTATAAATTGATAAAATTAATATTGATAAAATTAATATTTTTAAATAAAAAAATAAAATTGATATTTCTATTTGTATTTTTTCTCAAGAAGAAAAACAGAAGCACTAACCCTTTGGAAATTAATAAGAAAAAAATTGTTAATGGACCAAAATAAAACCAAATCAAAAAGCTAGGGTACCCAATCAAACATAAAACCTAACACATTCCCTATTCGTTGCACCTTCTTTTATTTTGGCCGATATTCCATTGTTTCTTTGCATTGAAGGATGCTTTCTCCGTTTCACGTCGAAATCAAACACGTTGAAATCGCGTTCATCCAAATCTTCTTTTTCGTGAGTTCAAACCCAAGCCGAGTTCGTCTACAGCCAATAACAGATATTTCGCGAAGGTGAGCTGCTGGACAAAGCACCAACCAGTACGACTACGACAGTCGGCTCCGCCATTTTAGTTCAGATTAGGTGAATATACATCACCAACTTATTTGTGGGCTCCACACCATCATTACCTCGTCTGGTCTAGTACGGTACTGGTGGCAATTTCTTTTGCTTTTTTTACGCTTTTAGCTGTTTAAAGCGAAAATGCATGAACATCGTCAACCACGTTTTTGTTATTTTTATAATGGTAGGACTCTAATTCAAGCT